AAATTGATGAGAACATGAAAGGAAATGTTTTCTTCACTAGTGTTATCAGTAATGTAGGCGAGATAGATTTAGCACAAAAGGAAGAAGAAGTGTATCATGCACTTTTATCAAGCATAAATGAAGATCCCTCAAAGATTCTTGGTTAAATGCGGTTGATGAAGAATTAAACCCGTTAGAAAGAAATCAAGTATGGAAAATTGTCAAAAGACCTCCAAGTATGATGAATGGAAAAAGATTAAATGTCATTGATTCAAAATGGGTTTTTAAGTGTAAAAATGAGGCAAATGGAAAAATAAGATTCAAAGCGAGACTAGTAATCAGAGGTTTCAAGGATAAGAACATTTATGAATTAAGGGAAACTTATGCTCCAGTAGCTCGTTTACCTCTAGTGAGAATAGTTATATCGATTATAAACAAATATAATCTAGAGGTGTGTCAGTTAGATGTTAAAACTGCTTTCCTCAATGGGGTAATAGATGAGGAAATTTATATGGAAATTCCAGAAGGAACTAATCATACTGACAGAGATAGGCAAGAAAATGTGTGCAAATTGGAAAAAGCACTTTATGGTCTTCGTATCAGTCCCAAACGGTGGAATGTAAAATTCACCGAAGTAGCTTTGAGTATGGGTTTGCAGAACTCGGATTTAGAACCTTGCTTATTCACTTGGCGAGATGAAGACAAGTTCTTGCTTCTGCTACTTTATGTAGATGATATATTATTGGCGAGTAATGATAACGATAAATTGGATGAAGTAAAAAGTAACTTATGTAGCGAATTCGAAATGACAGTCCTGGGAGAACCCAAGGAATTCTTGAGCATGACTGTAAGGCGGGACAGAGAAAATCAGATTATCAAATTAAATCAGGAAAATTATATTCAAAAGATATTAAGTAGGTTTGGCTTTGATAAAGCATATCCACAACGTACACCAATGAATACTTCTCAAGTAGCTAATAATGAGAGAAAATTAAGAGAAACAGAATATGATAATGGGACTTTGGAAAGGACAGAAACAAAAGCAAACATTCCTCATAGAGAGGCTGTATGTAGTCTTTTGTATTTGGCTGGTGCTACGAGACCAGATATTGCATATGCGGTCAATGTGATAAGCAGACATCAGGTAAACCCTAAAGAAAGTGACTGGGAAATGGTAAAAAGAATTTTCCGGTATTTGAGAGGTACTACGGGCTTAGGTCTGAGATATTCGGGAGAGACCAATGACATTCAGGGTTATTCTGATGCGAGTTTTTCCGATTGTAAAGATTCTATCACAACTTGTGGATTTGTGATTAGACTGTTTGGTGATTCGATCATTTGGCGAACTCACAAACAAACTACAGTAGCACTCTCCACGTGTGAAGCTGAGTATGTCGCAATGAGCGAGGCGAGTCGAGAAATGATGTCGTTGCACAACTCTTTAAAACTGATACTGGTTGATCCCCCTGTTCCAAAGATCTTAAGGTGTGATAATAAATCTGATATTGTGAGTGCAGAAACAAATGGAGGAATGAAATTGAGACACATTGTAGAGAATAAATTACATTATGTAAAGGAATGTGTTAAAAGGAATTATATAAAAATCATTTGGATTGGTTCAAGGGATCAGCTAGCTGATGTTTTCACCAAACCATTGACGTTTGAAACACACAAGCGTTTGATGGATCTAATAATGAACGTAAATATCTAAATTATTTNTGTGTCGCCACGGCGCCATTGCGCCTCTCGTAGATATACTCGTACTATGCATCACTTGTGCCTCGACCGTTGTCGCATTACGTTGCTGAATAAAGCTTAATCACTTTTACGATAATAAAACTGTCTTTTAGCGTTATTTCAATCCTAAATAACCCTTCAAGATCTTTAAAAAAGAATTCCATAAAAAATTGCAAAAAGTAGACCATTTCCTCACAAATCAGGAAAAAGGCCTTTTCAAAGGCTTCAATGTTTTTCTTATATGCGCCGAAATGCAAAAAACCATTAGAAAAATTTGATCTACGTCTCAATATCTATCGAATGAAAAAAAATTAGCCACTAGTACGTTAACAATGGGTTTCTCCTTTTCTAAAGCCTTTTTCGGGGGCTGTTTGCAGCTCTATATGTAACAGCTTCAAAATCGGGAAAACTGACTTTTGGTAAGATGATATTTTTAATGTATAACAAGATGTGATAAGTTATTTACACTGATTGCAATGTTCATCGTATTCCAAACATTCCAGAGCACTTCAAAATTTGGTTGGAAGAAGTATTCTTTCCACACGTGGGACCAAAAAATCTACTGTTGATCGATTCATGGAGTGGACATTGCTCTCGAGTGGTAGAAGAGGCAACTCCTCGGCATAAAGAATTATTAACTATGCTGATTCCGAAAGGGACGATCGGAAAAATTCAACCTCTTGATGTATACGGTTTTAGAATTGGGAAAAATTATATCCGTGATTTTTCAGATACGGTCGTTCTCTTGAATCATGACATCAATTTACATGCAGGAAATAATGTAATAAAATTGCAATCTCTAGTTCATAATCAATTATCGTCACCAAGTGGCTACATTGCTAAAAAACTAGAGGAATTTGATAATCCTATTGATTTTGCATTTGGACAATCTAATTCTAATCCACAATGTGACGCCGATGGTTGTTCTAATGATGCAGTAGTTAGATCCTCGTGGTGCAGAAAGTCTCTCTGCCTGCATCATTTTTTGATGAATATCATTTCTGTACCGATTATAATCCATTATAAAATATATATGGACAACCACAGGAAAATGCTAAAGAAGTAAAGGCTCGATTGAGACGGATGGAATGAGTTTCTACAATAAATACTAAATCATTTGGGCAACTCACAGTTCTCCCAGAAATTATTTCTTCTACCCCAGAAAATTTGAGTTCCGGGGAAAATAAAAAAAAAAGGTATTCCGCATTTTTCCATGTTCTTCTCAATGCAATCATTTTCATGAAATCCTGACCTATAATTTTTTAAAAAATATTTTCACAGGGGTAGTTTACCCCCCCCCCNGCTCACAAGCTATTTTCTCCTTCGATGGAATGAATAAATAACTACACCACTGCGATGGGTGATATTTCCTAAAAATCATTTTTTTTATCCCAGAAAATTTTAATTCTGGCGAAAAAACACGTATTCTGCATTTTTCCATGTTCTTTCAACCGCAAATGGTTTTATAAAATTCTGAGCCATAGTTTTTTTTTGAAAAACAAAATTTTTATAGGGGTGGTTTACCCCTCAAATTTCAACCCCCGGATGAACTATCAATTATGATTTTCATAATTTCTCACCAGCTATATATTACCTTGATGAAATGGATAAAAAACTTCACCACTGTGATGGGTGATATTTCCGAGAAATAATTTTTTTCACCCCAGAAAACTTCAGTTCTGGGGGAAATCCAAAAACAGGTATTCTGCATTTTTCCATGCTCTTCCAAATGCAATTGGTTTTATTAAATTATGAGCCATATTATTTTTTTTTTTTGAAAAACAAAATTTTTACGCGGTAGTTTACCCCCCCAATTTCAACCTCCGGAGAAACTATCAATTGTGATTTTTATAACTTCTCACAAGCTATCCATTACCGTGATGAACATTTGTAAAAACACGCTCCTTATAGGTGGGACTGAAAGATCACCCCCGAAGGTGGTCACCTTCTGACCATGGTCCCCCCCCCCCTAAAGCCGCGTATTAGCCGATAAAAAAAAATACGAGTCCTTTAGTTTTGAGTCCTCTACAACATATATGAGTTTGATCAAAATCGGAGGGGAACACCTCCCTAGTGTTCCTTGTTAGTGAGATTGATCAAACACTTTAAGCTATGATTGAATCATTTGAATACAACATTTTTGCAAATTTTCAAATAAATCAAAGTCAAGATTATTACTATCGCCTTCATCGTCGAACGTATTCAAAGGAACATCCAGACAAATTTTTTATGCCGTCATTCAATCAATTCAGAACATTTTTTGTAGTTATCGTGGGACGATCGATTGCACAGTCCGACAAAATTTGGGCCCATTTTTACCTAGAGATGAAATGGCCCTCACTAGAAAGATTTTTCCTCCCTGATTCCGAATCTGGCGGCCGTTTCCTCCGAAACGCGATCGTTGTGGAGAAAAAAAATGTTAAAGTTGTGAAAATGGCCTAGAACTGCCATTTTCTAAAATTAATTAAAAAATGACCCGTACGACAATTAGATTGCAAAAAATATCAGTGAAGAGATAAAATTTAGGCCTATCGTTCCATGACAAGTTTTTTAAATTAAATGCTCCTAATATTTCATAGAAAAATCAATAAAAATGCTATTTAACACGGAAAAGTATTATGGCGGAGCAATCTGAAGTTGCATCCCCACGTGAAATTCAAATTCCCGAAACTTTGAGGATTACCTATCGATGAAGGGTTATCTACTGAAAGAACAAGCTACCATGGAGGTGGTAGAATGAAGATGACTCGCTGCCCGCGTAGAGGCTCAGCCTGATCTTAGGCGAAATGAACTATCGAGGTACAGCACTATGAATAAATTCATTTGGCGTAGAATTGGTGAGCAGTTGACCCCTTCCAGCTCAGGTACTAACTTTATGAGTATAAGACGAAGGTCATTCTCATAACGTTGATAAAGCTAATTATATTCCCACTCCCAACAGAGTATTCGACCTTCTGCATGCCCGTATCATTCCGAGATCGCCAACGCGAAGAGAGTCGGATGGATCATGAAGCTCCATTCATCCTCGAGATTGAACTGATGTTTCTGGACGAAGATGATGAGACATGTTCGCTCACATCTTCTGTATTCCCCCCCCCCCCCNTTTCTGACCCCCTCCCCCTGTAGGAATCGAGGTTGTTGAGGGATGTAACGATTCACTAACAAATGCGATAGTTATAAAACAATCACAGTATATTTACAAGACGTAGACTATATACAAAAAGTGAAAATAGATAATGTAAGGAGTAGGTGTTCACTCCTGAGTATTCGGCCTTCGGTGCCGGACTGAATATAATATTCGCAAAAGGCGAAAATTCGGATACGAATACAATAGGCGCAAGTGAGAAGTACACATTAGACGGTTGAGTGACAGAGAGCGATGATGTCACTGATGTCCAGTGCATTGACACGTGAGTGCGGATGTAGCGAGGCGCTACACCCCCACCCCCCATCAAGTCCTCCACCAAGTCCCCCGTCAAGTCCTCGACCGAGTCCGCCAAACCCTAATGAAGTGGTCATCGTTGAGTCAGTGAAAGACGAAAAACTTTAGCCCCCTGATTGTTTTTTGTGATATTTTCATTTACAAAAAAGAAATTTTATTTTATTTGAAAGATTTTTTTTTACATTTTCAAACGAATTTCAAGGCAATAAATGAACAAATCAGGCATTTCCATGTGTATTTTCCTAACTTCGTTCTAACATTTCCCTCATTTTTCTCCTTCCTAAACACAATTATAAATGATTATACAAATTAAACCTCTAAGGTTTAAAAATGCTCAATAAAAAAAAAAATTATGAATGATTCAAACTCATCTGGTTCTATCACTCTCTCATCAACTTCGTCCTCTTTTTTGGTTGAAGTTTTTTATAGTTGAAAAATAGAATGGTTCATCTCAATATGCAATTTCAAACTGCAATTTTCCCTAACTCTCATAATTCATTTGACAAACAAAGACTCAAATTAGATATTGACATCAGTCTTTGGAGTTTCTATTTCACTAGAAGTAAAACTTCAATGTCTCGTCACTGCAGAAATTCACCTGCTTTCTTCTGCCACGTGTGTGCGAAGTTCACCCCTAAGCCCCAGAGAAGGAATATTACAGACTTGGTCAAAAAGGGATATCACAAATGCTTCAATCGTCCAATGACCAATTTGGATAAATCATGGACTCCCGACCTATGTTGCTCATATTGCTGTCGGTACCTCACAGGATTTCTCAGTGAAGGTAAAAAGTCACCATTCAGTACTCCAGCAGTTCGGAGTGAGCCCAGGGATCACATTGGCGACTGCTTTTTTGTATGAATGACATTGGATCGTATACGAAGAAAAGCAAAGATAAAATCTCGTATATCCAGCCACCCTCTGTCGTTCTACCAATGCTGATCACAAGTAGCAGTGTAACTGCCGACGAATCCCCGGTGGAAGTGAATGTAGAGCAGGACCCAGAAGAGCCAGTGAAGAATGAACTTGATGAAGAGTATGAGCCTGTGCCGAATGTGTCCGCCTCTAACGCACCGAGTCCGTTCAACCCAGATGAACTAGATGACCTGATTAAAGACTTGAAGCTCAGCAAAGAGGAGGCAGATACTAGCACATACTAGCCTCACGATTGAAAGAGAAGCGTTTTGTGACATCAGAAGTTCGCATCACGAAATCTCGCGATCGTGAATCTCATTTACTGCAATTCTTCAAGGAAGAACCTACCATTTGCTATTGCAGCAATATTGATGGGTTAATGAAGAGCATGGGGTAGAGCACCATCCAGAAGAATGGCGATTGTTCGTTGATGCATCAAGTACCAGTTTGAAAGCCGTTCTCCTTCATATTGGGAATATTTATCCATCTCTACCCATCGCTTACTCTACGTGCCTCAAAGAAAGTCATGAGAACATCGAGTATTTGTTCAACAAGATTGGATACAAGTATTACAACTGGCGTATACCAGCAGATTTGAAAATGGTGGCCATTGTGATGGGAATGCAGCTGGGTTGGACGAAGTATTGTTGTTTCTTATGCCATTGGGACAGCCGGGATAAAGGGAATCATTGGTCTCAGAAAGACTAGCCTACTCGTCGAGTTTTCACTGCTGGTAAACACAACGTTATTCAACAACCACTCGCTGAACTAGAAAAGATTTGTTTACTCATCAAAAACTTCGTGAAAGCCTTGAACAAAGATGGACAAGCTTTCGATTACCTGAAAACTTTCTTCCCTAAGCTGCGTATGGCCAAGATAAAGGCTGGAATTTTCATTGGCCCCCAGCTGAAGAAATTGATGGATAATGACTGAAAATTCAGAAAAGTGCTGAAGGCCACCGATTTAAAAGCATGGGAATCCCTCAAAGCTGTTTGCTAGAATTTCCTGGGGAGTTTTCGATCTGAGAACTCCAAAGAACTGGTTGCAGCAATGCTGAAAAATTATGAAAAGATGGGATGTAACATGTGTCTGAAAATGCATTTTCTTTTCTCTCATCTTCATTTCTTCCCTGAGAGTTTATTGGATGTAAGTGATGAACATGGAGAGAGATTCCACCAGGATATTTCCACTCTGGAACTTCGATATAATGGAAAGTCATCAAGGACAATGCTCGCAGATTACTGTTGGGGTTTATTTGATTCAAGCGAAGCTACTCATGAGATGCTTGATTCGTTCATTTATTGTTTTGAAATTGTATTGAAAATGAAAAAAAAAATCGTTCAAATGAAATAAAAATTGTTATCAAATGAAACAATTGGGAAAAAAATCAGGGTTTTAAAGTAGTTCGTCTTGCTCTGACTCAAGGATGACGATTTCATCAAGGTTTGGAGGACTTGGCGGGGGACTTGGTGGAGGACTTGGTCGAGGACTTGGCAGGGGACTCGGTGGAGGACTCGGTAGAGGGCTTGGAGGGGGACTTGATNAACATGTCTCATCATCTTCGTCCAGAAACATCAGTTCATTCTTGAGGATGAATGGAGCTTCAGGATCCATCCGTCTCTCTTCGCGTTTGCGATCTCGCAATGATACGAACATGCAGAAGGTCAAATACCCTGTTGGGAGTGGGAATATAATTGGCTTTATCAACGTTATGAGAATGATCCTCGTCTTATACTCATCAAATTTGTACCTGAGCTGGGAGGGCTCAACTGCTCACCAATTCTACGCCAAATGAATTTATTCATAGTGCTATACCTCGATAGTCCATTTCGCTAAAGATCAGGCTGAGCCTCTACGAGGGCAACGAGTCGTCTTGATTCTTGCACCTCTATGGTAGCTTGTTCTTTCAGTAGATAACCCTTCATCGATAGATAACCCTCAAAGTTTCGGGAATTTGAATTCCACGTAGGGATGGAACTTCAGACAACTCCGCCATAATACTTTTCCGGGTGTTAAATAGCATTTTTATTGATTCTTCTATGAAATATTAGGAGAATTTAATTTAAAAAACTTGTCATGGAACGATAGGCCTAAATTTTATCTCTTCATTGGTATTTTTTTCAATCTAAGTGTCGTACGGGTTATTTTTTTATTAATTTTAGAAAATTACAGTTCTAGGCCATTTTCACAACTTTAACATTTTTTTTACTCCACAACGATCGCGTTTCGGAGGAAACGGCCGCCAGATTCGGAATCAGGGAGGAAAAATCTTCCTAGTGGGGGCCATTTCATCTCTAGGTAAAAATGGGCCCAAATTTTGTCGGACTGTATTATTTTCCTGCAGAAAATTAGCACATATTGTATTCAATTCTTATATTCAATTCCTTGCCATTGTGCACTAATTATTCCCATTAGACACCATTGGTCTGCTAGGTTAACGCCCCAAACTCAAAAATCGAGTTTTTGGCCAAAATATTTCAGCATAACATTTTTTTTCCTGTGGAGAACAAGCACATAAAAAACCCGTATTTTTGAGCTAATAGCCGACTCGATCCAATGACCCTGGTCTGCTAATTTCACGGAGCTGAGTGCGCGTTTGTTATGGTTTTAATACGAAACATTCTGGTGCAACGATGAAACCGCGTGCTACATTTTAAGTTAATGGATAGATTTTTACGAAAGTGAGAGTGCCAACAAAGATATTCAGCGAAAAACCGAAAAATGGAAATATCTCGGCAACTTCGAATGAAAGGGTAGCATATTTTGATTGCTTGAAATACAAGATAAATATTTTGAAAAAAAAATTGAAATCGGTTGAATACTTTTTGAGATTTAGATACAAATTTGAATATCTCCTAAACTAATATTCTGGTGCAATGAGGAAACGTTGTACCAAAGTTCAAGTTAATATGTCGATTTTTGCAAAAATGAGAGTACTAACAAGAATTGTGAGCGAGAAACCGAAAAATGCAAATATCTGGGAAACTTTGAATGAACGGGTATGCATATGTTGATCGATTGAGGCAACGGGACAACCGTACCCATGAAAACTCTACCGACATGAAACACCACCGCAATCATCCCTCCCAACGTACGACGCTAACCCACCAATCTGGTTTTCCGACCGCGTTAAAACATTATAAATGGTGCAACGGTACCACGGGACAATTGTACCCACTGACAAGCCTACCGAATTATACTCCTACCAATGGTGTTCGGAACATTGAATCCGTGCAACTCTACAACAGGACAACCGTACCAAGCGACTTGCCTACCCCAGAATAGCCCTACCGAACTAACAAGTCTACCGCGGTACAACCCTACACGGGCCATATTACAATCATTCTCTAATATATTTTCATGTGTAATTTTTCCCTCTCATGTTATAATTATTCAAATGACTAATAATTAATAAATTTCGTGAATTCAACGTTTCATCAATCGAAATCTTATATATAAAGAAGCCCGTTTTGACCTGACTTTCTAGAACTTTCGAGGAAATTCAAGGAGTTTCTGGAAATTTGGGGTTAATTCAAGAAGTTTCTAGAAATTTGATGCGAACTCGAGAAGTAAACCCCAATTTCATTAATTTATGATTCTGTTGTAGGAATACTTGAGAATGAGTCATAATATAGGGGAGAGTGGGGCAAAATGAAACAGCCGAAAAATGACTATTTGACGCAATCCAAGCAAAGAAAATTTTTTTTTATCAACTTTTATTTTTGGAAGTATTGAAGAGAATAATAGTTTTTTATTGTTCTTATAATTCAATTGATTAGATTAGCCCGATTACTTTTCTTTTTTCATTCGATTGAAATTCAGCATCACATTGTCCTTTTTCCCCCTCTAGGTCTCTCCCCAGACCTTTATTTGGACTTTGAACTTTGCTGTTTCATATTCTTTTCAATTAATCAATTAAAAATAGTACATTACGCAACTAGTGCGGAAAGCAGGCGGTTACTCACGAGGCCGGCGCAGCCGCCCGAGTGATACCGCCTGCTGTCCGCACGTGTTGCGTATACTATTTTATATGATAAGTGCGTGATGAAGTCTGGGGGCGGAGGGGGGGAAGTGGGAGGTGTGGGGGGGGCGAAGCCCCCCACGAGAAAAGGGGGTCCAGGGGGCGAAGCCCCCGGA